CTCTCCCTCTCTCTCTCCCTCTCCCTCTCCCTCTCCCTCTCCCTCTCCCTCCCTCCCTCCCTCCCTCCCTCCCTCTCCTTCTCCTTCTCCATCTCTCTTTCTCTTTCTCACACACAAATAAACAAAATATTTTTTTTTAAAGATTCAACAGGGTGTGATGGCGCACGCCCTTAATCCCAGTACTTGGGAGGCAGAGGCAGGCAGTTTGAGGCCAGCCTGGTCTACAGAATGAGTTCCCGGATGGCCAGAGCTACACAGTGAGATCCTGTCTCAACAAAACAAAACAAAACACCCCCCCCAAAGAAAAAAACGAAAGAAAAGAAAGACTCAACAAGGTATCCTGAACATCACCTGAAATAAGACTAGAGTTTAGAAGGCAGCTATCTAAAAATGCAGATATAGGGGTGGAGAGGAGGCTCAGCTGTTAGGCTCACACCCACAAAATGCAGATCTCTCAGCACTTATAATCATCAAGTTTTGTGTTACTGAAAGGATATACTCTCTCTCTCTCTCTCTCTCTCTCTCTCTGTGTGTGTGTGTGTGTGTGTGTGTGTGTGTGTGTATGTATGTGTGTGTGTGTTGTATGTGTGTGTAATAGTTTGTCTAGGTATAATATTAATTATTTGTGGCCCTATGCTTGAATTCTCCCAAGTGACATGTGAAGTTGCCCTCTGAAGTTGCCATCAGATCAAGGAGGAAGTGGGTGACCTTTTTCCAGCCTGTATGCGGGAGAGCAGTTGCTGAGCTGTCAGGGATGTGCATGAGTTAGAGCCATTGGCTGATTGTTCAGGTTCCAGTCTCACTAACCGCCTAATCAGGGTCATGCAGAGGTGCAAGCTCTGAGCCCAAAGCTTCTGGGGCACACTGAGCTCTTGTTGCCCATTGTTCGTTTGCAGATTAGGTGTCTTCTCTGTGTGTGGACCAGAAGTGGGTGCTGCCACAGGCTGGACCAGTAGATGGATAGGGTGAAAGCAAGTCATATGTGAGAATCACAGCTGTGTTTGAGCCAGAAGCTAGTGTTTGTCCTGTCTGGAATTAGAGGTTCTGATTTAGTGTTAGGCATTGTCTAACTTTGGCAGGTGTTTTTGTGGGTGATAAAGATATTCTGGCTTGTGTTCATCATAAACTTTTGGGGATAGAGATCCGATCTTCATGTTTTTCAGTCTCTAAGTGCTGAGTATACAGCATTGAGCACATCACATCTTGGGACAGGGACTGAGGTATATCAAGGTGGAGATTACAGTAGTGAGCTTTGTTTTCAAGAGGAGAAAGGACAATTGCAGGCGCTGAAGGAACACAAAGAGTTTTGGGAAGCAAGAGAAACTGACATCTATTCTGTGACCTGAGGAATAAGCAGGATTGCCAAGGGAGGGTTGAGACAAGGAATGGAAAAAGGTGATGATGGTGTCACAGAGCTTTAGAGGAAGAGAGCATGGTACTTAGAGAGAAATATGATAGTGACGTAGAACTGGACCAAGGCACATTGGAAGAAGAACTGTACAAGACAAAACTCGGAACTAGAAATCCAAGGCATCTTACCCCTTAGCGAATTAAGATATTAGCTATCAAAAGATGACGAGGATCCTCTTAGGCCACGGGGAAAATCTAATCATATTTGCATTATTGAAAGATTACTTTGGGCTGAGTGAGGTGATGCATGGTAATAATTCCAGCTTTTGGGAGGCTGAGACAGGAGGATTACTGTGAGTTCTAGGTCAACCGAGTAGATAGTGAGTACCAGGCCAACTAAGGCTCAAGATCCCATCTCCAAAAACAACAAATAAACAAACTGGGAGATGGAAGGATTGGAGTGATTGCTCAGTGGTTAAGAGCACTTGCTGACCTGGGTTTGATTCCCACCACCCACAGCTGGTAGCTCACTACAGCCTATAACTCCAGTTCCAGGGAATCCAGTGTTCTCTTCGGGCCTCAGCACATCTTCATATGTGGTGTATATACACACACTCATGTGCATACATACGCAGCGGGGGAGGGGGTGTTGCTATAGAAACATCCACCAGAGAGAAGGGAGAACCTGGATGCTAGTTACTTGTTCAGGACGTGGATGAAATAATGTAGGTGGGAGACCGTGATGGTCAGGGTGGGGGTGATAGGATGGAAGGCTGGGCAGATTACAGAGTGTTGGAGGTAGACTGCTGATGAGTGGATGCCAGTCTGACTGAGCAGGGGAGTGTGAGACGCTGTGGGTGGTGCTGCCATTCCTTTCTCCTGGTAGTAAAGGAAGGCTGAGGGAGAAAGTTTGGGTTTACGACTTTGGCTTTGTGTGTTAAACTGCTCAGTGGATATTTACAGGGAGATTCCTAACAGATCTGGAAGGGGAAGTTGCCAGAGAGAACAGGGCACTATAATGCTTCCTTCATCCAGATGGACAAATCTGCGAATGGTGGATTTATAACTAGGTCATTCTGATTTCTGGGTGTGGATAGAATGCAGGTCTCTCCCATGTTTTTCGTCATTCCAGACTTGGGCTTCTTTACACACTTAGTGTCTCTCCCCATTACAACTGGAAATGTGTCCTACCATGCATTCCAAGCTGACCAGACAAACATCATGTCCAGGCCATGGTCCACCGTGGGCCAAATCTGGTTTAGTAAGTGGGGCAAGAAAGCAAGAAAGAGAAGCCTGCAGGTGGTAAGGGGATGGGTCCCTGAGAACCAGCACGTAGCCTCCTCTACCACTGCTGTGTGTATACATGGATGTGTGTCTGTTACATAGCCAGGGTCCAGCCAGCAGGAAAAAGACGGAAAAACCAGGAGGAATTTCTCACTGGTCTTTCAGACCTCAAGTTGGGATGTTGTTGGTGATGGTAGGTAATTGGCAAGGATAGTTTAGGAAGAATTTCCTTCTGGATGTTTCCAAAAACAGGCTGATCATCAGGGCAATTAAAAACAGTGTGTGTGTGTGTGTGTGTGTGTGTGTGTGTACATTGTGACGCATGTCTGAGTCCCAGCACTTGGGAGGCTAAGGCAGAAGTAAAGTTGTAAGTTTGAAGCCAGTTTGCACTGTACATAGCAAGTCTCTGTTTCAAAATAAGTAAATAAATAGTGTGTGTGTGTGTGTGTGTGTGTGTGTGTGTGTGTGTGTGTGTAGTATGAAAATACAGAAAGCATACCCATAGGCCAAAGTTTTCATTTTGCTTCACGTTTTTATTCTTTTCATTGCAAACTATCCACGACACACAGGAAAGTACATAAAATACAAAGATACTGGCTAAAAAATAATTATAATGTCTGAGGACTGAACCCAGGGCCTGGCAGCTGCTGTGAAAGCACCCTGCAACTGAGCTACATTCTTTATGTTTTGG